GAGACAGCGGCACTCATGCACCATTGCAGGGGGTGGAAAATGCTACAGCTACCGTGGGAAATGGCACAGCAGCTCTTTAAACAGAATTATCGGCCAGGTGCGGTGGCTCACACCTGTAATCCCAACACTTTGGGAGACCGAGGTGGGCAGACTGCTTGAGCCCAGGAGTTCAAGACCAGTCCATGCAACATGATGAAATCCTGTCTCTACAAAAAATACAAAAACTAGCCAGGCGTGGAGGCACCTGCCTTTAGTCCCAGCTACTTGGGAGGCTGAGACAGGAGAATCGCTTGAGCCCAGGAGGTGGAGGCTGCAGTGAGCCGAGATCGTGCCACTGCACTCCAGCCTGGGCAACAGAGCGAGACACTGTCTCAAAAATAAATAAATAAAACCAGAATGATCAATGATCCAGCAATCCCACTTCCGGATCTACACCCAGAACTGAAGGCAGGGTCTCCAGAGGTCACTGCGCACCCGTGCTCACAGCAGCATCATTCATGACAGCTAAACTGTGGAAGTCACCCATGTGTCCACCGACAGAAATGGGTAAACAAAATACACCCAGGCAACAGCTTGCGGTTCAGTCTTAAGAAAGGAGACGGGCCGGGCGCGGTGGCTCAAGCCTGTAATCCCAGCACTTTGGGAGGCCGAGACGGGCGGATGACGAGGTCAGAAGATCGAGACCATCCTGGCGAACACGGTGAAACCCTTGGTGTCTACTAAAAAATTACAAAAAACTAGCCGCGGGCGGAGGTGGCGGCGGCGCTGGAGTCCCACTACTCGGGATCTGAGGCAGGAGAATGGCAGGCAACCCGGGAGGCGGAGCTTGCAGTGAGCTGAGGAGTCCGGCCCACTGCACTCCAGCCTGGGCAAACAGAGCGAGACTCCGTCTCCAAAAAAAAAAAGAGGCCGGGCACGGTGGCTCAAGCCTGTAATCCCCAGCATTTGGGAGGCCGAGGCGGGGTGGATCACGAGGTCAGGAGATCGAGACCATCCTGGCTAACATGGTGAAAAACCCGTCTCTACTAAAAATACAAAAAAAACTAGCCGGGCGTGGTGGCGGCGCCTGTAGTCCCAGCTACTCGGAGGCTGAGGCAGGAGAATGGCGGTGAACCTGGGAGGCGGAGCTTGCAGTGAGCCGAGATCGCGCCACTGCACCCAGCCTTGGTGACACAGCGTGAGACTCCTGTCTCAAAAAAAAAAAAAAAAAAAAAAAAAAAAGAAAGGAGGAGACTGTGACACAGGCTGCTCATGGCTGCACCTTGAGGACACGGCGCTGAGTGAAATAAGCAGTCACAAAAGGACAGATCCCGTGCGACTCCACTCACAGGAGGTCCCTAGAGTCACCAAACTCACAGAAACAGAAAGCGGTGGGTGGGTGTCAGGGCTGGGGGAGGCAGAATGGGGAGTGAGTGTTTCATGGGGACAGAGGCTGAGTCTGGGAAGATGAAGAGAGTTCTGGAGATGGACGGTGATGATGCCTGGACAGCAATGTGAGTATCAAATACCAATGAATTGTACCTTTAAAAAATGGCTAAGATGGGGCCGGGCTCAGTGGCTCACACCTGTAATCCCAGCACTTTGGGAGGCCAAGATGGGTAGGTCACTTGAGTCCAGGAGTTTGAGACCAGCCCGGGCAACATGGTAAAACCCTATCTCTACAAAAAACAAAACAAAAACAAAAACAAAAACACCTCAGCCAAGAGTGGTAACGCACACCTGTAATCCCAGCTACTCAGGAGGCTGAGGCGCGAGGACTGCTTGAGCCTGGGAGGCAGAGGTTGTAGTGAGCCAAGATTGCACCATGCACTCCAGCCTGGGTGACAGAGCAAGACTCCGTCCCCTACACCACTCCCCCCCAAAAAAAAAAAAAAGTTAGGATGGCAAAAGTAGATGTTATGTGCATTTTACCAGAATAGAAAAAAGATCTGCAGTGCTAAGAATGCCCCAGCATGGAAGAACCTTGGGAAGGTTCTTCCCAAGGTTCAGGCGGGTGAGAGCCACCAGAGGCAAAAGGACGAACGTGCGGGATTCCACAGACACCGAACGTCCAGGATCTGCAGGGCCACACGGACACCGAACGTCCAGAATCCACAGGGCCACAGAGACAGAGGCCGAGCGGAGGTGCCCAGGGCCGGGGCTGAGGCGGAACAGGGAGTGACCGCTGACGGGCACGGGCTTTCCTTTTGGAATATATTTTGGGTTTGGAACTACACAGACGTGATAGTTGCAAGTATAGAGTTTTTGTAGAAATCTATAAAACCAATTAACTTCATCTAGACACACATAGAATGTGCCAGAAGGTCCTCCGCTGACGGTGAGACAGGCACGTCCAGGCGTCTGAACCAGGCCCACGGTACAGCCGCAGTCCTGCCCTCCTCCGCCTCTGGTGTGCTCCATCCACTGCCCACACCTCCCAGTCTGACCCTTCTCACTGACCCTCAGCCCGGGCAGTATTACCTGAGGACAAAAACGCCTGTGAACATCCCCACAGGCGCTCAAACCACAGAGCCCCGGGCGGCGGCCACTGGCAACCAGAGCAGGGTGTCCCGTCTGAGATGAGCACCGAAGTCACAGCAAAAGAAACACGTACGGCATCAGGGAGAGCGCCAGCCCCCCAAGCCCTGGTGGCCTGGGACCCCGTGTGGGCAGCGTGTTCTCACACACTCCTGACACTAGCACCATAAAACCCACCCCACGTCCAGGTGGACATCAGCACGCAGGGCAGGGCAGGGCAGGGTTCCCCACCCCCGGCATCCACCTCTGACCTCCTCGGCAAAGGCTACCCCAGAGGCTCTGGTGGAATGTCCCCAACCAGGCTGAGTGGTCCCCAAAGCCGTGGAGCCAACCCTGGTAAACATCTCAAGGACCTACTCATGTGTCCCAGGAGGTCCTTCCTTGGGGCTTGGCCACGTTCTCCGCATTCCCCACAGTGACTCAGCCGCCACCCCCACAACACACTCCCCTGCAGAGCCCAGGCCCCGGGGCATCCTGTGACCCCCCAACTTCCCCTTCCTCCACCGCAGTGGCCGAGCAAATGCGGGCCCCCGTCCCTACGTGAGGCCGGCAGGTTGTCCACACGGGCAGAGAGGCGCTGCTGAGGTCGCAGACAGAAAGAGCAGACCCCAGGCCCCCAGGCAGGGTTGAGACAAGAGACAGACATGGCGCAGAAATACTGCGGGCTTCCCCCGCCCCCAGGGGCTACGCTGGCCACAGGTGGACACCTTTGGGTGTACACGGTCTCAGCGCACATGGGACCGATGAGCACAGTCCTGTCACCAAGTCAAAAAATCATCCAGGTGGCAAATAAACAAGGCCTGTGGTCCCCTCCTACAAAGCAGCAGCATGAGGCTGCAGGGCGCTGTGGAGGGACAACCATCGTCTGACCCACGGGGAGTATGTCTTATTTATGTGTTTACGTAAACGTTATGTGCTCGCACCCAGCCCCACCCTGAGCTGCTCCAGGCACCCCCAGAACAGCCCCATCTCAGAAGTCTCTCCCTGACCCTCACCCCTGCAGGGCCCCTGCAGCCCACAAGCCGGCCCCAGTCCCACTTGAGGCAAAACTGCAGCCGAGCACCCACCCCTGCTCCTGGACCTCGCCGGCCTGTGCGGACTCCGTCCGGCACCCTCGAGGCCCCCAAAGTTCTTACCCCTGAGACTCCCCATTCCCCCACTGCCTTCTCAACATGGCCTCCGAATTCCAACCTGCACCCTTGCCCGGCCACTCCCGCCCGGGGCCGTGGACGTCACACGTCATCTCCCTTCCACCTGCCTCCCACTGGGACACACAGGGTCCCCATCTCTCCAGCCCAGGTGGTACCATCTCCAAGAGCCACAACCAGGGCTGAACAAAGGAACGTGCCCCCCGCCTCCTCACACTTGCCTCATGCTGCCAAAACCGCCCGGTGGTGTCTGCCTGCCACGGCCATACCCCATCTCCTCCTGCCGGCCCCTGGGCAGGTCCAGCCCCAGACCACCCGCTCCACTCCTGCCAGGGCCCGCCTCTGGATGTCTCCTCGGCCTTGCCGGCCATGGTTCAGGGACCCCTGTTGGCTGAGGGCTTGAAACCAGGATGCCACGCCGCCCTCTCCCCGGGGTGATCATGGAAATCCCGTGGCTCCTGGGGCCTCCCCAATGCTAAGCGCTGCCAAACCTCTATTCGACCCCACTTCTCACTGGAAGCCGAGACTCTAACCCCAACTGCCCACTCGCCCTCTTGGCCTGAATCTGCCCCCACCTCCGCTTCCTGCCCAACACAGGGCACCACCGACACCCAGCATCCAGCCTGAGGCCAACCTGGTGTGCACCCTGGCAGCAGGGGTTGGGGACACTGAGCCACGTGCCCTGCACTGGACAGGCAGCGGCCTCGGTCCAGGATCTCCTGCCCACACAACAAACAAGGCATGGCACGGATGCTGGAGGCAGTGTGGGGTTTGGAGGGTGGGGGTGCAACCCCATCAAACCCAGGCATGGGATGCATGGCCCCACAGCAGCGTAGCCACCTGCTCAGGGCCCAGCAGTCTCCGGGATGTGGTAGGAAGTGAGGTCAGAAGCTTCCCTCTGAAGCCACAACCCCCAGGACTCACTTTCCTTCCTCTCCTCCCGATGGAGCCAGCGTGGAATGAAGGGAGCCCCCACTCCAGCTCAGGGGCCAGCAGGGACCAGGAGGAGTGGACAACTGGCCTGGGGGTGGTCATGAGCTGAGGCAGCCACATGGGAGCAGTGTCCAGCGTCCCACCTGGCCTTTCCCTCCTAGGGAGACAGCAAGGCCCCCTGGACTTCTCATGCCACCAACCAGCCAAGCGAGGCCCCCGCCGCGCGGTGCTGTCAGCCAGAACATGCACAGGCAGCAGCTGTGGTCACCATGGCTGCTCGTGCCCTGACACTCCATGAGGGTGAACCTCCGAAAACGGCACCACTGCCTCCTCCTCGGCACAACGGATCAATAGCTCAACCCCGTAACATGCAAGACCGGTGTAGGAAACCCCAGTACTCACTGTCTTCTCCTGGACATGGCAGTCCCGGCTGCTCAGGGGTGCTCGGGAAAACTGGACAGAGAGAGGAAGAGAGAGCGTCAAGGCCCCGTAGCTGCCACTCAACAGTCTCACGGAGGAAGTCCCGCCTCAGGCAGGCTGAGCACACGGACTTCACACAAGGCGCACGTGGCATTGCCAATGAGAGCACGCTCCTGGGAGACGTGAAACCCAGTGCGTCTACGTAGGCCAGGCTCCATTAGGTAGGACTTAAAAACCCACAGAAAAATTTAGGGTAAAAGCCAATCAGAGGGACCTGGACAGCAGAGCCGTCAGAGAAAGCTACTGATTTGTATTTTTAAACTATATAAAAATGGGGAAGAACTGCAATTACTTTGAAAACTGACTTTTAAAAGCACTTTAGATTCCATTTCTTTATACTCAAGACAGAGTTCAAAATTATTTTAACACACATCTTGGGCTTCCACGATAAATTATCAAAATAGATGCCTAGGAAATATTAAAACTTAGCTGGAAATGATGGCTCACGCCTGCAATCCCAGCACTTTGGGAGGCCGAGATGAGAGGATGGCTCCAGACCAGGAGTTCAAGACCAGCCTGGCCAACATGACAAAACCCCATCTTTAATTCTATATATATGTGTGTGTGTGTGTGCGTGCATGTGCGTGTATATACATGTATATACGCATAAAAGTATTACAATTTTAGTAAAACAAACATTTTTTGTTTTTCGTTTTTTTGAGATGGAGTCTCATTCTGTGCCTAGGCTGGAGTGCAGTGGCACGATCTTGGCTCACTGCAACCCCTGGCTCCCAGGTTCCAGCAATTCTCCTGCCTCAGCCTCCCAAGTAGCTAGGATTACAGGCGCGCACCACAACGCCTGGCTAATTTTTGTATTTTTAGTAGAGATGGGGTTTCACCATGTTGGTCAGGCTAGTCTTGAACTCCTGACCTCAAGTGATCCACCGGCCTCGGCCTCCCAAAGTGCTGGGATTACAAGTGTGCACCACCAAGCCCGGCCCTAACTATTTTTCTTTTACCTAGAAAATAACGTGAATTTTTAAAGCACCATATCTTTCAATGTAGAAAAGCAAAATGTGCTTACTATCACAATCGCAATAAAGTGGACGAGGTTAGGCACAGTTACAAGTTTATTTATCTGAGACAGGGTTTCGCTCCGTCACTCAGGCTAGAGTGCAACGGCACAATCACAGTTTACTGTAGCCTCTACCTCCTGGGCTCAAGGACCGCCCACCTCGGCCTCCCGAGTAGCTGGGACTACAGGTGCACCACCACATCTGGCTATTTAAAAAAAAAATTTGGGGCTGGGCACGGTGGCTCACGCCTGTAATCCCAACACTTTGGGAGGCTGAGGCGGGTGGATCACCTGAGTGCAAGAGTTAGAGACCGGCCTGACCAACACGGCGAGACCCCATCTCTACTAAAAATACAAAAATTAGGCTGGGCGCAGTGGCTCACATCTGCAATCCCAGCACTTTGGGAGGCTGAGGCGGGTGGATGACGAGGTCAGGAGATTGAGACCCTCCTGGCTAACACAGTGAAACCCCGCCTCTACTAAAAATACAAAACATTAGCCAGGCATGATGGCGCATGCCTGTAGTCCCAGCTACTCGGGAGGGTGAGGCAGAAGAATCACTTGAACCCTGGAGCCAGAGGGTGCAGTGAGCTGAGATCTCGCCACTGCACTCCAGCCTGAGCGACACAGCAAGACTCCATCTAAAAAAAAAAAAATTAGCCAGGCGTGGTGGCACATGCCTTAGTCCCAGCTACTCGGGAGACTGAGGCAGGACAATCGCTTATACCCGGGAGGTGAAGGTTGCAGTGAGCAGAGATAGCGCCACTGCACTCCAGCCTGAGGGCAGAGCCAGACTCTGTCTCAAAAAAACAAAACAAAAAAGTTTTGGAGAGATGGGGGTCTATGTTGCCCAGGTTGGTCTTGAACGCCTAGGCTGAAGTGATTCTCCCACCTCGACCTCCCAAAGTGCTGGGATTACAGGCGTGAGCCACTACACACGGTCTAGTCTTTAAATTTAATGCCACGTTGATATAAAGGGCTACAAAAATTAAATATTGTAACCAAGTAGCCCCGTGTCCAGGAGAATGATGGATCTGTCAGAAAACTGTGGGCAGTTTCGAGCTTTGGTCCCATCTTAGACTCAGTGGTCCATGGCCAGAAGCCTGGCAAGGAGCCCAAGCTAAGCCAGAAGTGGACACAGAGACACAGACGTGGCTAGCTGGCCACAGCTGCTAGAACCACACTCGCAGGCCCCAGACGCCCTGGAGACCCCAGCAGTACTGGGGAGTCTAAAGTGCTCACCTAAAGACAAAGTCACATCTCCCACGCGTCAGCTCATCACAGGGCTTTGAACTTAAAGCCGAGGACAGCTGTGAGCCGGAAGCCGGGCCCAGGGAGCACCGGGCAGGTGAGGTGGCTGGTGGGGCTGTCCCCACTGTTCACATGCACCGTGGGCTCTACGCTGGCCACTGGAGCCTCTGAGCAGTTTATGGGTTCTTTATAAGAGCAGTTTTCATTTGGGTTAATAAAATGTCAAAGAAAAGGCTGCGCGTGGTGGCTCACGCCTGTAATCCCAGCACTTTGGGAGGCCGAGGCAGGCGGATCATGAGGTCAGGAGATTGAGACCATCCTGGCTAACACGGTGAAACCCCGTCTCTACCAAAAATACAAAAAATTAGCCAGGCGTGGTCCCGGGCACCTGTAGTCCCAGCTACTCAGGAGGCTGAGGCAGGAGAATGGCGTGAACCCGGGAGGCGGAGCTTGCAGTGAGCTGAGATCATGCCACTGCACTCCAGCCTGGGCGACAGAGCGAGACTCCGTCTCAAAAAAAAAAAAGTCAAAGACAAAAAACCCAAATGGCATTATATTAGACATCCCTAAATTCTCTGGCATCATAGGATTTTAAACCATGATCCTATATGGCGTCGAACCCCCCAGGTGGTCTGGCAGGCACCCACAGCCAGGAACAGCCCCCTGGGCCGCCCCCCACAGACCCCACCACTGACCATGAATGATGAGGCCTTCGTCCCTGCGCTGACGGGCCAGGCGGAAAGCCTCTTCCAGTTCCATCTGGGAGGACACCGTGCAAGGGTCACCTGGGTGGGGCAGGAGACGGTGCTGAGGTCGCTGAAGGCCCAAGGCAAAGCGGGCTGTGATGGGCCTGCTTAGCATACCAGATGAGGGTCTAGTCCCACTGCTCAGATTGGCCACCTCCTGGCAGGGTTGGGAGGTCCAAGGATGGCCGTCCACACTAGGGAGTCACCCGGCCCCCAGTGCCGCATCAGAGCCACCCAGGAAGGGAAGCTGGTGCACTTGCAGCCCTGGGCACCACTTGGAGGGCTAAGCAGTGAGCAGGGCTGAGGACACTCTCCTGAGGTCAGGCCCGGGTGGAGGGAAAGTTCCTCGCCCTCCGTGGCTGGACAGGGACATGGAGGCGTACAGAACCCACGCCCTGCGGGGCTGTATCCAACCCAATGGGTGCGGCATCAGGCTCCACCCACATAGCCGTGTCCTCAGCCAGCAGCTGCCCACCAGTCCCCGGGCGAAAGGGGTCTCTCTGGACGTCTCCCAATCCCCTCCCATCCTTTTCAGGATGTGTGTGAGAGAGAGAGGAGGCGGACACGGCGAGCCCTGGCTGCACGCGCCCTCCCCATGGTCCCTAGAACAGGAAGAGCCCATCCTTCAGAAGCACCTACTGGAAAAGGCCAGGACATGAGAAAGGAGGTCAGAGGAAGAGCTGAGGACCTGCCCAGGGTGAGGCAGGGAGACCCCCTGCAGGCAGTTCAAGACCAGAGCCCTTCCTAGGGGCATCTAGGCCTAGGTCCTTGTTAGGCATCTGCAGCCAACCTCTTTCCCACCAGCCCCCCTGGGGAAAAGTTGGCTCCAACAAGTTTAATTCCACTTTTTTAAGTCTTCCCACAGAAGAGGCTGAGCACACTCCGCACAAGAGGCTGCCCTGGCGAAGTCCCCTGAGGCTGAGGATTCTGGCGGACACGGGACGAGGGCTACCTTCGCTGTCCACCCACTTGAGGGTGAGCGGGTGCTGCTGGTGCAGACGGCACATGTCTCTCACTTCCTCGCAGAGCTCCTCGAAGGTTGTGGCGGCGTCCACGCTGGTGATGAAGATGTCCCTGGGGCGGAGGGGACACGGGCATCTGTTACCGTGGGGCGTATTTGAATCAAATTAAACTATTATTACTGATTAACCAAATCATGGATTAGATAAGTGAAACTTTCCCCAAAAACAGTATGACAGCCTCCCCCACGCCCCTCCAACACAAAACAGAACCATTAACCATAATCATCGTTTAAAAACGACCACCGTCAACTTCCCTGCACAGAGAAGAAAGCGCGACCTACCTGGCTGGAAAGAATGAGGTCAAATTGGGAAAAAAGAAAGTGCCCTCTTGTGCGAGGCCTGGCAATGGCACCTGGTCGGACACCCGTTCCAGTTCACCCAAGTGTGGGTGACCCCGGGATGGACACAAGCTAGGTCGGTGCAGGCCCCCCGGCTTCGGTAAGGTAAAGGAACCCAGTCAGACCTGCCCCCAGACCTCGACGGTGCCAGCGGTGGAGGCCAGACCTTCAGGGGGTGAAGAGGCAGGGGATTAAATAATTCCATAATGAAAGGTCGCTCTTTAGACCCCAGAGTGGGAACTGGGTCCGCTGCTGCGGCTACGACAGAAGCCTGGGCAAATTTTTCTTTTTTTGAAAACCGAGTCACACAGCGTCAGTGTCTTGTATCTTCTCAGCCCCAGACAGGACCTGAATCCCAGGGGCTGGAGAAGCTCAGGGACCCCCAGGCACCCTTTGAAGGCTGGCGCTTCCCTGCTGCTAGAAACCCGAGGTCCCCCCATCACCGCCTGCACTGAGCAAGAGCTGGTCTCACCCTGCGTGGAGGGGAGGGACCCCCACAGGGCCTAGCTGGTGTGTCCTGAAACTCAGAGCAGCAATCACACCCTCGTGGAACACACCGAAATTTCAGAGAAATCTACGGCTTTCTGACACCCACAGGAGCGCGGGGCAAGAACACAGGGCCTATAAAAAGAAGCCTGAAGGGGTGTGAGACGTCCCAAACCACAGAGACACAGGCTCTGCTCTTTGCAGACACTGCTGGCTCCCCACAAGCTTATCTGAATTCATCAGACAAGTTTCGAGAAACAAAGTTCTCGTCCCAGACAAGCACTCCAGTGCAAACAGAACACAGGATCTGCCCACAGCCGCAGCCCCAGCATAGCAGCCCAGGGCCCACCTGCCCCACAGGCCTCACCCAGCCCACTCTGGACCCCAGCCACCCACCCCTTCCTGCTGCAACTGGCCACCCAGCACCTGCCCCCAGTGCCCGAGCACCCCACAGGAACCAACCTGGCTGGTCTTTGCCACAGCCCGCAGCATCACGGCAGATTAGGAAAGTGAGGAATGGAGGGGTCACACACCCAATACCCGGGGTTCGCCCCAAGCTGACACCCAAGCTGCCTGACCTGGCGTCCAACAGTCCGACCACCAGGAACTCCAGAGTGGGAGTCAGTCATCCCTTCACCTTTGACCCCTTCCTGCCCCATGCCCCCGCCCCCACACAGTCCTGTCCCCAGGTGGAAGCCAGTTTCCTGCCAATCTGGAGGCCAGGTGGGTGGCTCCAGTCAAACCCCAGGACTTGGGAAGTGTCGGGCCACCACTTCCAACCCTATCCCAATCCTGAATCAAACAGCTGCTCTGTGCCCCTCGGCAGGGGTGTCCAGGACCCAGCACCCAGTAGCCAGCTGGGCAGCCAGGGAGAGACTCCTGTGTCTCTGCAGGGCCCAGCACCAAGCCCTGAGCTACCGCCCGCCCTGGTCTCTGAGCTTTGCACACAGAACCTCCCTGAACACAAAAGTTGTCTGAGCTGGGCCAGGCGCGGTGGCTCATGCCTTTAATCCCAGTGCTTTGGGAGGCCGAGGCGGGCAAATCACGAGGTCAGGAGTTCAAGACCAGCCTGGCCAACAAAGTGAAACCCCATCTCTACTGAAACTACAAAAGATTAGCCGGATATGGTAGCAGGCGTCTATAGTCCTAGCTACTCGGGAGGCTGAGGCAGGAGAATCACTTGAACCTGGGAGGTGAAGGATGCAGTGAGCTGAGACCACACCACTGCAGCCTGGGTAACAGAGCAAGACACTGTGTCAAAAAAAAAAAAAAAAGTCTGAGCTGGAAAAGGGAAGAGCCAGCACCAGTGTTTGCGACTCCAGAAGAATGGGCGTCTGAGACTCGGTCTGGGAGCCTAGCCCAGGTCACCTGGGACTCCCTGAAAACACAGGTGTCCGGGGACCCCTCAGGCCCACAGGGAGCCGGCGGGGAGGCGAGGATTGGATCTCAAGTGTGCTCAGAGGGCCCTGGGGGGACAGGCAAGGATGATGGGGTGGCCATGCCCCATGGGGGTGACTGAAGAGCTCCTCCTTTTTCTAAAGACTAGTCTTCCACGTGTCCACACTCAGCTACCTCCACGAACAGCAGTGTCTCACCCCAGGGACGGAGTTTCTAGGGCTTCCAATAACCCAGTACTCATCCTGGCAACCACTTTCCGGAACTGCGTCATTGCCCTAAGGCCTGAGTGTCCCACCCCACAGCCAGTCCCCTCAGAGAGGCACTGGGTGCCATGAGGGACGAGGAGCCAGGCTGGGGAGAAGGGCAGTTCACACTCTCCAGTGGAGAGGAGGAGGACCTGGGAGGGGACAGAGGAGAGAAGGAATGGTAGGAGCAGGGAAGACCCAGACGGGAGACAGGCCCTGGAACAGGGAGGAAGGTGAAGGAAGAGGTGTGGCAGGGAAGGGAGAGAGGGGAGAGCGGGAAGAGGAGGGAAAACAACAGGGAAGGAGGGAGGAAGAGGAAGGGGTGGGGAGAGAGGGGAGACAGTCCGGGAAGGGAGGGAAGAGGAAGGGGTGGGAGCCTGGTCTCTCCAGCCCGGGAAACCAGAGTCACCGGGTGGAATTACACCCACCCCACCACCAAAGTGCTCCCAGGGGCCAAAGCAGGACAGAGGGAGGACGGAGCGGCCCAGAACTCCAGGGCACTGCCCCTGAGCCTTGGTCCCGGGAATTGGGCACCGGAATGCAGGAGGGTCTGGGCCCCTGCAGCCCTGCGGGTGTGGACCTCCCTCTTGCAGGACGCCCCTGACCTCCACACCATCACCTGTTGCCTAGTTTATTGGCTCCAGGCTGGGAAGGAGACAGCAAGCCCAGGTTCCTGGGTAAGTCCAATAGCCAGGACCTCAATCACACCAAGTTTTAACCGGCTGACTTCCAGGTCAAAAGACATGGCTGCCCTACCCCTTTGGGTGGGGTTGGACGGTCAGTTCCCCAGAAATCCCTTTCTTCTGGTTTCTGGCACCAAACCCGACCCCAGTACACCCCGAGGGTTCCAGGTGCTTGCCAGAGGGGGGCTGCAGAGACCTCAACCTTCCCAAAGAAGAAACAACTGAGCCTCCTCAACAAACCTGGGGCCAAGCAGCCCCAGATGGCTGACCCCCGACCCCAAGACAAGGTTCACAAGGAGCTGAACCCGCTCAGACTCGCAGGGCACCACAGAGACCCCTGGGGTACTGTCCTGACAGGACATGGCCCAGGGAAGATGTCACCCACGTAACCCTGCCAGCCGTCCCTGCCTCTGGGGCTCAGGTTGCCACCGCGGGAGCTGAGGGCGCACTGGGGCAGGAGCAGCTTTTCAAGATCCCAAGGACCACCCAGTGCAAGCCCGGAGCCCGCAGTCCGCTCCCCTCCCTCTCCGCAGCAGCGGCCACCTTCACCGGAGCGGAGGTCCGAGTTCGGGGCTCCTGGGGACGCAGGCGGGTGGAAGAACAAACCCACGAGCCCTCCCTTCCCCACCACCCACACTTCGGGGGGCAGCGACCCCTCCGCTGTGCCTGTGAGCCCGGCCACCTGGTGCAGCCCCCGCCACCCCCACCAGCGCTGCCCCGGACCCCTCGGCTCCGGCCCCTGACCGCGCCCCCTCCCACAGCCAGACAGAGGCTTCCAGGGGGGCGGGTGCGACGCAAGCCCCGGGGCCAGTCTCGGCCGCGCCGTGGCCTCCAGAAACCCCTGTCCCCACCCGACCACCCGGAGCCCTGCCGGGGGCTGCAGTGGAGCCACCGCGCCCGCGCCCCGGGTCTCCGGACTTTGCCTAAAGCGAGACCCCCGGGCCGGGTAAACGGGGAGAACATTTAGGAAACGCTGATTTTAAGAAACCCGCCAGTAGTTTTTACAATTTGATGAAAACTTTCAATCCTTACAGGTTTGCGGCCGGAATGTCCCCGCCCAACTTTCCAGCGAAAACGTCAACCACAGTGACCGGGCCGAGGAGCGCGCGGCGCGGGGCCGACCCCAGGGAAACCCGGTCCCGGGGAAGGAGCCGGCGCTGCCCACGAGGTGTCCGCGGGTGACGCTCACGGGCGGGGACCGAGGACCTCCTGCGACAGCCCCGGGCCCGCAGCGACCTCGCCGCCCTCTCCCTCCCTCCCTCCAGCGCAGGAGCCCCGACGGCTGTGCCCTCCCCGCCCTCCCCGCCTCACCCGCCGCCGCTCCCCGCCCTCCCAGCCGCTCACCCTCCGTAATGCGCCTTGAGGCGGACGCGGCCGCCGCTCCCGTCCATCTTGGCGCTGGTCCTGCTGGGCATGGCGCGCTCCGCCGGCCGCCGTCAGCGCTGCGCCCCGGGAGCTCCGGCCATGGCGCGGGGCGGTGGCGCCAGGTGGGGCCGCGGCGGAACGCGGAAGGCAGCGCCCAGGACCGACGGCTCCGGCCCGGCCAACTCCGCGGAACTCCACGGAACTCCCACGGCGCGCGGGGCGGCAGCTGGGGGCGCGCGGGGCGGGACCGTCCGACGGGGGCGGGGGCGGGGGCGGGGGGCGGGGGGCGGGGGGAGGGGGGCCGGCGTCCGAACATGGCGGACCGAGGTGGAGCCGGCGGCCAATCCGCGGGGCGGGCGGTCCCGGGGCGGGCGGTGGCACCTGCGGCCAATGAGGGCGAGGCGGGGCCGCCACCTGGGCCAATCCTCGAGGGACCCCCGGCAGCGGCCCAATGGCGAGGCGTGGGCGGGGCTACCTGTCGGGCGGGGCGCGGCGCACCTGCGCCAATGGGACCGCGCACGGCGCGGCTCTGCCCGGCAACCGGAGGGGCCCCGGCCTGGGGCACCGAGCTGCGAACCCGGGAACTCGCTGGAAACGCAAGTTCTCGGCCCTCGCCCAGACCCTCCGAATCGAAACTCCTGCGGCGCGCGCCCTGCCAGCCCGAAGACCCCGCCGTCCAGGGGTCTCCTGACATCTCCCACATGCAGGACTGAAGCTGCAAGGAGCGGAGAACCCGGCCAGGGTCAGGGACGGGAGGGTCCAGACTCGGGTTCTCTGGGCCCCAGCCCCCGCTTCGCCCCCATCGAATCCAAGGTCCCCTGTAGGGAAGGGCCGTCCACACTCGTGAGTGCAACCGCTCACTCCGCCCAGGTCAAGGACGCGGCATTGCCCCGAGTCGCCCATGACCTTCATTTCTGAAGCCACAGCCTCTTGGGCCTTACTTGGGGGCGGGGGGGTTGATCTGGACAATCGCCCTGCAGGCCATTCCACCGCTCCCTGCCTCCTGGGCTCCTCCCCTGAAAATGCGGTCGAATTTTCCCTGATCAGCCCATCCCTTGCTGTCTGTATCCACTGAAGCCCAGACCTGCTGCCTGCAAGACCTCACCCAAGCACCAGGTGGACACCCAGACCCAGCTCCTGACCTCGACCCCTCTCCCCTGAGAGTGGACCTGCTCAGGCCACGCCCTCACACCCCTCACCCAGACACAGCCACCAGGACTTCAACCACGTGCTTTCATCACGCAGGTGGGGTGCCTGGCGCCTCCTTGACGCCAGGCCTTGGGGAGACCTGTGGCCACAGAACTCTTGGTCTCCCTAGAGGTGGACAGCGTGCCCCTCTCCTATGCAGAAGCTGTCGTTCTTTCTTCTTAAACACCGTTTGCACCCTCCCTCCACCCACTGACCCATCTCTGCCTCTCTCTACAGCAAAGCTTCTGCCAAGCCGCCCTGCTCCCCCTCTACCTCCCCTGCCACCACCCACTTCCACATTTTAAATACAAGGGTCGGTTCTCAGACGTTTTCTTTTCTTTTTTTTTCTCTTTTATTTGAGACGGAGTTTTGCTCTTGTTGCCCAGGCTGAGTGCAATGGCATGACGTCGTCTCACTGCAACCTCCGCCTCTCGGGCTCAAGCGATTCTTCTGCCTCAGTCTCCCAAGCAGCTGGGATTACAGACGTCCACCACCACCCCAGCTAATTTTTGTATTTTTAGTAGAGACGGGGTTTCTCCATATGGGCCAGGCTGGTCTCCAACTCCTGACCTCAGGTGAACCACCTGCCTCGGCCTCCCAAAGTGCTGGCATTATAGGCGTGAGCCACTGCGCCCGGCCTCAGACGTTTTCCTGGCCTTTAGCATCACAGCCCTCCTGGGAAGGCTCATACATCCCCCGCCCCCGGTTCCAGCTCCCCAAATCTCCCATCCTTTGCCCTCCTGGTCTGCAGCTTTTAAAAGCGTGGAGCCCTGGCCTCAGCCTTTGGCCCACTTCGCATCCCCAGCTCAGATGGTCCCCCCGAGCTCCCAAACAAGGTTCACCCAGCCCCAGGCATCCTCCTAATGAGCCTCTCAGCTGACCTCTTCCCCAACTCGGTGGTGCCCCCTCCATCTTTCTGGGTCATCAAAGTCCCCCAGTGGTTCCCATCGTTCCCAGAGGGAAAGCCAGCTCCGCTGCCCCGGCCTGCGGGCCTCCTGGCTGCCCCGGCCTCCGGGCCTCCTGGCTGCCCCGGCCTCCGCCTTTGCATGGTCACTCCCTCTTCCGGGAGCACCGTCCTACAGAGATCTGCTGGACTGACACCCACATTCCCTGGAGTCTCTAGCATACTTAATGCCCATTTCAGCAATCTACTCCTCACCCCATCTCCATGGGGCGACCCCCTCTGTATCCCTCACACAGGCACAAAGCCCCATGCCCATCAGCTGGGTGTGAAGGGGGACAGAGGGTAGAGGGTGAGGGGGCAGCTTGGCAGTGATTCCCAGATTCCCAGTGATGAGTGGGAACCTGTGTCTGCAGCAGCTCCAGAGCCAGGCACCCGTCGGCCCAGCTCCCCCACGCTGGGCCCCATGGCCAGGGCTGTGGCCTCATCTGGAGTCCGGCCTGGCAACATGGCCTGGGCACTTCCTGATGGGCAGGAAAAAGCAGGGTTTTGCCTTAGTGGGGCGGTGCCTGGAAGGGGCCACTGGACACCCGCAGGACTTCCTGGCTGGTGTTCTGATCCAAGGAGGCAGCAAGGCCTGGTCCTGGTCCCAGCGCCCCTGCTGGGACAGGCCCTTGGCACTGGCCTCCCCGGGGAGATCCGTGCTGCCAGGCGGGAGCCTCCGTCCTGGAAGCCAGTTGCAGGGTCGTGGCAGTGCCCCAGTGCCAGGGAGATCCATGCTGCCAGGCAGGAGCCTCCATCCTGAAAGCCAGTCCCAGGGTCACGGCAGTACCCCAGTCCCAGCGAGGGAAGATGGGGGGTGGGGCTTTATTATCTGTGGGGTTGGGAGGGAGAGGGCGGCCTCGGTGGACAGTCCACCCCAGTGTCGGACTTTGTTCAGCCCTGATGCCGGTGGAGGGGGTGGGGGCAGATGCAGGTCCCAAAAGGCTCCAGCAGAGGGCTGAGGGCACAGGGGCTGCCCAAAACGTCCCGAAAACCTCCCCCCGTACCTGCTCTGGCCTCCCCTCGGGAGGCAGAGGCCTCCACTAACGAGATCTGCAAAACAAAGGCCTGACCCGCCCAGGCCCTGGGACCCGCCTCTGGGCAGATGGGGCAGGTCACAGGGAGGTTCCCAGGTCCTCTGCCCTGAGCCTGCGCCCCTGAGAGTTCCCTGAGGGCAGAGGGCGCTTCCTGAGGCACGGATAGACTCGCTGGCTGGCGGTGGTGTCACTGTGTTGCCCGGCGACAGATACAGGGTGTTTGCTCTGGAATCTGCCAACGACTCCCATCCAGATCCTGGCCGAGGGCTGGGCCCTGTTAGACCAGGTCCCCACAGCCTCTCCAGGCACCTGGCACACGGGGAAGGAGTGAGTGACTTGGGTAAGGACCCCTCGAGAATGCTGGAGCCAGGCAGCCTCCTAAGACTGTGGGTGGGGACACAGTCATTGCCCGCTGAGCTCGGCACACCGAGGAGGCACAGCCCTGGAATCTTCCAAGGACTTGCCCTGGGGCCTCCGGGGCAGGTGGGGTGTGGAGGTGACCCTTGGAGTGGGCGGGGCAGGCTCTGAGAAAGGCTGTTGGGTGGCCAAAGGCCAGGCTTTCCACCTCGCCGGTTTCTGTAGCTCCCAAATTTTTCTTAAAGTCCTCATATACTTTCATAATCATAAACACCTATTATTTTTTAAATAAAAAAAATAAAACGGGTTATAAAAGTCACACTGGCTTTTTAGAAAACTGGAGCAACACAGAAAGGTGGTGTAGGGAGAGGTGAAGCCTCTTCCCAAAACCCCAGCTGAGCAGCGAGAGCCCCGGCGGTGAAGCAGATAGCCTTCCCTCTCCCCGTGCCTGGGACCGCAGGTGGAGGTGCTGGGTGACCGCCGGGGCATGGGGTAGGGAGCTGACCGGCAGAGGGCAGTGTGGGCACGGGGTCTGGCTGAGGGTGGCCTCTGACCCCCGGGCCAAGGTGGCTCTGTGCGGCTGCCAGGCCTACCCTGTGATTTTCCTTAGAAGAGCCCTTTGATGATACCATCGAGTGATGTTGAGACGTTTTAGAAGAGAGGCAGTTTACGCTCAGTGTGATTTGTCAGACGTCTGGGAGGGGTTGGCTGGGGCCCATGGGGTCCCCATCACCGCGCCCCCAGCATGGAGGCCTCCCTCATCAGCTTCATAAACTGCATTTGTGCCGGCCCAATGCTTGGGACTGCCCAGAAAGGTGCCTGGCAGGAGCGGGCATGCCACAGAGCCCATGGGGCCCGGGTGGGTCTTCCTGCCAGATGTGAGGCTGCCCTGTGGGGTCCCACGACCCCCATCACAGGAAGGCCAGGCATTTGCTGACGGGTTCTGGACACAGCAGCCATGGGAGGGACTGGCCAGATGTTTCCTTTCTGTGTCAGGGATCATGGGATTTGGAAAAACTGGCTCAAGTGACAATGTCAGCTGCATGGGTTCATTCTATGGATGTTGGTTGAGGGCCTACTGGATGGAGGACCAGGAGTTGAGCCAGGAATACAGCAGTGAGCCGGCCAGGCGGGGTCTCCTCGTGGGACGCTGCTGGAGACAGGCCACTGTCAGAGAACCACAGGAGTGCAGAATGGCCGAGCAGGGCTGACCAGGTCCCCGCGGGAGAGGCTGGCCCTGGGACTGACGATGTGTTCGGTGGGGCAGCCCTGTGGCCCCAGGGAGCAAGGGCTCTGTGAGTGAAGGGCACGGGGAGTGTGAAGAGGCCAGGATGCCCCAGCCAGGAGGGTCAGGGGAAGAGAGGGTCAGGGAAGCCTCAGACAGGGTCTGGGGTGTGAGTGCCTGTGTGCTTGTCTGAATCTATATGTGTTTGTGTCTGTGTGCATTGTGTGTGTGCATACATGTGTCTGTGTATCTGTGTTCTCATGTGTGTATAAGTATGTCTGTGGTTGTGCGTCTGTGTTGACGTATGTGTGTCTATGCATGCATACATGTGTCTGTGCGTGTGGTTTTTTTTTTCCTGCTTTTTGTTTTGTTTTTAGGCAGGGTCTCGCTGTGTCACCCAGGCTGGAGTTCAGTGGTGCCATATCTCGGCTCACTGCAGCCTGGACCTCCTGGGCTCAGGTGATCCTCCCA